TGAATTTTTATCCTCTTATAAATCTATAAGCACTCTTGTTGAATATATAATCCTACTTACTGTATATATGTCAACATTCCACAATGAGGTTATAACACAAATCACATGCCGCTGTCTCCTAGCCAAAGCACAACAATTGTACAATTTGTGTCTGGCTTTAGTGTGTAGAAAAAAAAACACCAATCTCAACAGCTGGTGCTTAGAAACATTAACTTTGTCTTTTTTATTTAAACAAACATAAATTTGGAAAAAAAAGTTTGTAAATGTTCCAAACAGATCTAAAACCCACGATGTAAGAAAGTCTAAAATGCTGTGTAAAATGTACAGTTGGTTATGGCTCTTTTCTTTCTGTAACAAATTGGGTAAGTATAGCATCTGCGTTTTGCAATTGTGAAGTCATTAACTACACTACGTAACCTTGAAATTGCAAATGACAGAAGAAATCAAAAAAAATATTTCTTTCACATCAATCATAACAGTAGAACACAAGCGGATAATACTGTAAACATGACTATCTTTTAGGAGGTCTCTTACACTTGCCAAATGAATTAGCATAATTATACCATGAAAATTCCAAGCAAGCTTAGTACATGTGCAATGCCTACTGGGTTTCCCAGCTGGCTGTTGGCAGGTGCTTGCTTGCCAACTTAAAATAAAAAAATAAAGTTATTTGGTTTGAGACTATATATACAAATACAGTATATATAGTCCCAAATAACTTTTTATTTAATTTAAAAAAAATCATTTTATTTTATCAGAGTACCCTCTAATTGAAATGTAGGTGCTTACTAACCCCCATAACCCTAAATATATTATTATGTACCATAACTAATGATGCCAAATGCTGCTTTCAAGAGTAACACAGTCATGGCATTCTCTTGTTGTTGCTGCATTCCCAGAGAACTGCATTCCCAGTGTGTGTCTGTGAGTGTGTCTGTAAGTGTGTGTGTGAGTCTGTGAGTCTGCGAGTGTGTGTCTGTCAGTGAATGTGTGTGCGTGTGCCTGAGTGATTGTGTATGCCTGTCAGTGTGTGTGTGTGTCTTTGAGTGGGTGGGTGTCTGTCAGTGAGTGAATGTGTGTGTATGCATCACTGTGCGTGCATGTCAGTGAGTGTGTGCGTGTCTGTCAGTGATTGTGTGTGTCTGTGAGTGAGTCCTTGATTGTGTGTGTCTGCCAGATTGTGTCAAATCAGTGAGTGTGTATGTCAGTGTATCTGAGAGTGTCTGTCTGTCTGTCAAAGTGTGTGTTAGTCTTTAACAGAAAGAGGTATGGCCTTGACAGGAAGGGGTGGGGCAAATGTAAATTAGGAGGTGCCCAAGTTCCGTCATGCCTAGTGCAGCACAATTCCAAAATACACCACTGGCCACAGCACAAAGCTTCCCCAGGGCTAGTGGCCTACAAGGAAATTTTCCGGTATCCCGGTAGGCCAGTCCAGCCCTGGGCCGCAAAGATACTCATTGTGGGCCGCATGTTTGACATGCTTGACCTAGACTATGAACAAAGCTTGTGGAATTCTATATTTCTTTTATTATTATTATTATTATTATTATAGAGAAAATTTTGCCCTCAAAATGTTTTTTCATTGCAAAGATGTATCCTTATAAGGTACATTGCATGTACAACTGTTTTAGGACTTTAAGTTGACTTAAATTTACCATCTGTCCCCTTGGGCTCTAACTTTGGAAAACATTTAGAATGACTATTTTAATGGGACCAGTGCACAAAGCAGAGCAAAGGTGTGTTAATCATCAATGTTAATCTACATGTGAAGGAAGCTGAAATGGATGCAGAAACACATACTGAGCAAAGACATTGAAAAATAGCAATAGAAATAATTATTCTCTAAACATTTTTTTTGTAAGAATCTGAGCCTCCGTGACACTCTTTTGCTGGTCACAAAGTATAATTAATAAGAATAATAGTGGATTTATAATTTTTGAATGTTCTCTTGACGTATTCATTTTCTATTTGTAAATCACAAACATATCACAGTGCTTTGAATTGGAGGTGGATAAAGAAATATTTCAGAAAATAAATCTTAGTCATGTTTTTGAGTTTAAAATAATTATTTGCAATCACTTCATCTAATGGCATTTATCTAACTGGAAGTTGCCACTATGGTCATCAAAGATCCTACTGTTGCCCAAAAATAGCACTAAATACTTGAAGTACTCTGCTATTGCACTGTATCTGAAGTTAATTCTTATCCATTTTGCACAACACAATATATTGCTCAAGAAAATAAATAAAAAAGTGACCTAGCTTCCTGATAATGCAGCTGTTGCAAAACATATGTACTCATCAACATTAAGAGGTACTAAATCAGTGGGAGGGAGTCTGAAGACGATTTAAGGGAGAGCTAAGCTGAAAGAAACAAGGTAAGTAAAGAAGTTGGAGTTGGAAAATATAATATAAGGAGGAGGGAAAAATCTAACTTCAATGGGGACTCTTGCCAACTTTTCCTGACCCCAGGATATACGCACTGAAAATGATATATATGTTTTGCTTCAGACCTGAGGAAGAGAGGAAAACTCTCGAAAGCTTTTCTTTTAAATATTATGTTAGTTGAATAAAAAAAAAGGTATCATTACATACCGCAATATTTTGGCATCTTGTCTATAAATCTATGCATATATCTATCTTTTACAAAGCAAATATGGAATTCTCAAGTAGAATGCCCCCCAGTTAGTCACAACAGAATTATGGGAAACAAAGCACTATTGCATTTTACACAAATTTAATATCTGACAATGGGACTCCATTCTCTCTATATAAGCTGTGATAGGGGCTCACCAGGAATAACTTGCTCTCCATTGGAGTGTTGAAATTCAATGAACATAGTTACCTTGAGATTGTGTCAGTAGCCCCAACACGACCATAGTAATAAGCAAGTAACTAAATATAGAAATCCCAATAAGTAAAATACCGACTAGGTAAGTTTTACCTCAAATTTAGTGTGAGGACCAGGAGTATGAAAACACACCTGCAACAGGTGAGACAAGGTCAGCGACAAGCCAAAATCAAGGAACAGAGAAGTGAGAGAGAAGGATAAGGAAGCCAGAAAAGAGTAGTCAAACTTCCCAGGTTGTTAGGAAGATATCATCTTAAATACTCAGACGTAAAGATGTAATGAATTGGTAAAATTTGGCAAAATTATATCATAACCCAGTCCGGAATATCGAAAATAGGAAACTATGCTGGCAGTAAGACTAAGTATTGGTGGATGTGCGTTGTGCTTTGTATTAGCTGCTGTAAAGAAATACTGACTCTTGCCAAGACTCGTGTATCTGTACATCTACCAAACTGGATCTGAAACTAATTATCAGAATGGTGATAGACTCCTAATCTTTTGTTTTTTTTTTTCCTCCCCTCTGTCATTCCCTGTGTTGTAGCAACATTTATAACCATACCTGAAAGAGAAATCATTGTTGGAAGAAACTGCATAACACCCAGCTACTGGTTGGCCTATGTTAAACCAAACAGAGAAACAATTAAGCTAAATTGGTGACTTGGGAACCTAACTAGTTGCCAAGTGCCTATGAGAGGCTCTTATCAATTGGCTGTTGGGTAAATTTGCCACTGTTGGGTAAGTTTGTGGCAGGGTGATGGCCTCTCGGAAGTGATTAAAGATTGGTTGTCTATGACCGATGTGATCCTAACTCCTATTGCTAAGAGGGTGGAGAAACAAAACACTGACTGTGATATGGGCTGAGGGGCTAAATACCCACGTAGTTGAGAATGGGAGTTAACCCCATGAGATGGCTATGTAATGGCACAAGGAGACAGAAAATACTACCTATGGCCACCTCGAACCATAACAGTCATACCAAGCTAAATGTAATGTTCTGTAGAGCAAGTGTTTGTTGTAAGGAGAAAGGTAGTTGTGTAAAGCGAGTCACTTGCGTGGTGTCTTGAAAAACATGAATGCGATAAAATGAAAATGTGACATGACTAAATAGACATATACCTGGCAGATTGATGAAATTCTGAATGCTAGAAGTTGACTGTAAGAATAAGTTCATAGTAAGTGGAGGGCAAAAAGGTGTCCAGGGGTTCAATAATCAACTTAGTGTTCATAATTCAGAACTAGGTTACCAACACAGTGAAAATGCAGCAGGATGATTGTCAGTAATGTAGGTAAAGTAAGTAAGATGAACCCAGAACACCAAAATACTCTAGTGATACCTTTTGCCAAACAAAATGAAGGAAACGGAACAGTATAATAAATTACCCAGTTGATAGAGTTGAGCGGACACCTGGATGTTCGGGTCCTGCGGGTTCGGCCGAACTTTGAAAAAAAGTCCAGGTTCGTTATTGAACTTGACCCTGAACTTTTGGCCACAAAAATGCCTCTAAAAAAGTCCTGGAAAGGGCTAGTGGGCTGCAAAAGGAAGTAAAATGGGGGTAAGAGTAGGACAAGTGCCCTGCAAACAAATGTGGATAGGGAAATCACTTAAAATAACATAAAAATAAAAAATACAGCTGAGCCATAACATAACACTAGATGGAATCTTTGATTTTAGCTTTGGAAGAACATAAATCAAAATCTAAAGCATGGCTGTCAGGAGGATCACCAGAATTATCCATTTGAGAGAGGGTTGGAGTGCAGAGTATTTTCTTTCATTGTTCAAACTGAGCTCAACTCCTGATGCATGGAGAAAAGGCCTTCACAAGCCTCTGCTATTGTGTACATAGTTTATACTAAGTGACCCATAGGTCGAGGAGGCGGTGACCATGATGGTGTAGGTGGAAGCAGCGGTGGAGGAGGTAGACAACACTGTTTATTTATATCTATTTTTTATTTTAATTGGGGTAGCCCCCAAAATATTGGGACATACAAAAAAAGAAACATTTGCGGCCTGTGGTGCATTTCTTGCAGTCCTGATGCATGGAGAAAAGGCCTTCACAAGCCTCTGCTATTGTGTACATAGTATACTAAGTGACCCATAGGTTGAGGAGCTGGTGACCATGATGGTGTAGGTGGAAGCGGCGGTGGAGGAGGAGATAGCCAACACTGTTTATATATATATATTTTTTATTTTAATTGAGGTAGCTCCCAAAATATTGGGACATACAAAAAAAGAAACATTTGCCGCCTGTGGTGCATTTCTTGCAGTCCTGATACATGGAGAAATGCTCAACTCCTGATGCATGGAGAAAAGGCCTTCAAAAACCTCTGCTATTGTGTACATAGTTTATACTAAGTGACCCATAGGTTGAGGAGGCGGTGACCGTGGCGGTGTAAGTGGAAGCGGCGGTGGAGAAAGAGGAGATAGCCAACACTGTTTAAATATGCTATTGACTGCACCTACCATGGTGACCACGGGTAACGGGGAATCAGGGTTCGATTCCGTACAGGGACCCTAAGAAATGGCTACCACATGCAAGGAAGGCAGCAGGCGCGCAAATAACCCACTCCCGACGCGGGAAGGTAGTGACGACAAATAAAAATACAGGACTCTTTAAAGGCCCTGTAATTGTAATGAGTCCACTTGAAATACTTTAACTCTGATCAACTGGAGGGAAGTCTGGTGCAGAGCCACTGACCCGTGCATGCTGCAGCTGAAACTCCACTATCGCCTGCTGCTACTCAAACAGTCTCTCCAGCATGTGCAAGGTGGAGTTCCACCTTGTGGGCACGTCGCATATGAGGCAGTGAGCAGGAAGGCCAAAGTTATGCTGCAGCGCAGACAGACGAGCAGCAGCAGGGTGAGAATGCCGAAAGCGAGCACAGTCGCTACAGTGAATGTCACATCCTGTTCCAAGTTGCAGATCAGTCTGGTGATGGCTTCTGGTATTCAGCACTCTTTTTACTGAAGCTGCATCAGGATCCTGGTATGTGGCTGCACAAATGCTGGTGCTCAACACCAGGGGGCGTGCGATTACCCTGCACCAGACCTTGCTAATCCATTCCACACTGTGACTCCTAACTTCTACATCAGGCATACTGGGTCCCGGTCGTCCGACCGCCGCCCAGACAGTGTCTGGGTCCCAGTCACCGGACTGCAAAACTGCGAAAGGCTAGTTAAATCTGTTATGGTTCTTTTTATCGCTTCAACTGTTACTTGGATAACTGTGGGAATGCTAAAGATAATACATGCCGACGAGCGCAAAGGGACGGCCGCTCCGCTTTTGCACCCTGCTCCCTCTTATGCTGTGCTGGTGCCTCTGTGCGTCCAGTGCCTCTTCCTCCAAACTGCACACATCACTCGCATGACCTTGATTCCATGTGGGGTCTAGGACCTCATCATCCTCCACATCATCTTCCACCCACTCCTCAACCCTGCCCTTCTTGCCGATATGCACACTGCAGAAAGTCACAGCAGTTGGCACCTGTGTTTTTCCAGCATGTAAAGTGTGCAAAGGACATATGGAAATTGTTTTAGAATTGTATCCAGGCAACAGTTTTCCCTATAAATTGACCTCTCAGTTTGACTTGTGAGGGTATTGCCCCAGAATTACAATATTGTTTAAGTACCTCTTAGCTATTGATAACTGGTTTAAATATAGCAGCTTGTTATCTGGTAATATCTATTGTAGAAAATATCAATCTGTTTTCTGTCACTTAGATCTGTGTAACAAGTGTTGTTGGTGTGAAACAATATTACAAGTGACCGATGTAGTAAATTCGAATCAAAGTTACGCTTTGATTTGACTCTCAGATATGAAGAGCAGGCCCCAAAATGTACTATTTAGCAGATTAGCAGCAAAATAATTAGAACTTTTACAGGTGCGCTGTAAGCGCACTATTAGACGCTTCGATTTTACTCTCAGAAATGAAGAGCAGGCCCCAAAATGTACTAGTTAGAAGATTAGCAGCAAAACAATTAGAATGTTTACAAGTGCGCTGTAACCGCACTATTAGGTGCTTCTATTTGACTCTCAGATATGAAGTGCATGCCCCAAAATGTATTATTTAGCAGATTAGCACGCAGAAAATTAGAATTTTTACAAGTGCGCACTATTAGACGCTTCGATTTGACTGTCAGATATGAAGAGCAGGCCCCAATATGTACTATTTAGCAGATTAGCAGCAAAACAATTAGAATGTTTACAAGTGCGCTTTAAGCGCACTATTAGACGCTTCTATTTGACTCTCAGATATGAAGAGCAGGCCCCAAAATGTACTATTTAGCAGGTTAGCAGCAAAACAATTAGAATGTTTACAAGTGCGCTTTAAGCACACTATTAGACGCTTCGATTTGACTCTCAGATATGAAGTGCATGCCAAAAATGTACTATTTAGCAGATTAGCAGCCAGAAAATAAGAATGTTTACAATTGTGCTGTAAGCGCACTATTAGACGCTTCTATTTGACTCTCAGATATGAAAAGCAGGCCCCAAAATGTACTATTTAGCAGATTAGCAGCAATACAATTACAATGTTGACAATTGCGCTGTAACCGCAGTATTTGACACTTCTATTTGACTCTCAGCTATGAAGTGCACGCCCCAAAATGTACTATTTAGCAGATAAGCACCCAGAAAATTTACGTTTTAAAACTGCAATGTGACAGCAGTATTTGATGCTTCTATTTGACTCTCAGATATGAAGTGCACCCCACTAATGTACTTTTAGCACCAAAAAAATTGACTTTTTAAAACTCTGATGTAACCGCTGTATTTGACGCTTCTATTTGACTCTCAGATATGAAGTGCACCCCACTAATGTACTAGTTTGCAGAATTCTTTCCTAAGCTGTCCCTCACAGCGGCAGCATCCTCTCCCTACACTAATAAGACCTCATGTGCGTGCGGCGCTGCGCAACTCCAGCTTAACTATAGAGGCTGGGTCACATGCTGCACTGGCCAATCACAGCCATGCCATTAGTAGGCATGGCTGTGATGGCTTCTAAGGGCACACGAGTCAAATGCTTGTTGATTGGCTGCCCTGCAGCCTTTGAAAACACGCCATTAAATCGCAGAACACCAAACTCCAACCGGAACATACAGTGATATGTCCGTGTTCGGGTCCGGGGTCCAAAAAACGTAATGTTCGGATTCGCTCAACTCTACCAGTTGACCATATATGCTAAAAATTGCCCCAGATAATTAATGGTTGTTATGAAGTATACATGATAACACTTGACGTACTCATATGAACTTAAAGTGTATAGATACTTAAGATAGGCTGTAAAGGAGGTGGTCAGAATACATTCAAATCACCATTTATGTAAGTTAAATTTAAAATAGGCGAGGGTACATAATCCCAAATTTTATAACAAGACATGGAGGCTCATATTGCATATCCCTTTCTTTATTTTCCACCAATAGCAGCAAAGAATACAAAACAGAATGAAAAAATAATGAAAATACAGTAGCATAGGCCCCTCCCTGCTCAGGTCCCAGACGTTGTCAACCCCTCCTGTTGGAAGGCTCCCTTCCGCTACTGGCATGGCGGATCTCCGGGGACCCTGGGAGATCCAGGGAGTTTCGGACACAACTAAACGCCTGTTGGCAGAAGCATGGGCTCCCGGCACTAGACGGGCATATGGGTTAGCTTGGCGAGCTTGGGCTGGCTGGTGCCTGGCTAGGGACACGGATCCCGTTTCAGCTCCTGTGACCATGGTCCTGCAATTTCTGACTTCCCTCTTTGAAACAGGGAAGGCCATTAATCTCTATCGGTCGGACATCTCTTCGACTCATCAGGGATTTGATGGATGCCCTGCGGGGGAACACCCCTTGGTGTGCCGGCTCCTCAAGGGCTCTCGCCTCTCCTGTCCGCCCAGACCCCGCTACTCTATGACCTGGGATGTTACGGTTGTATTATCTTTTCTCTCATCCTGGCCCGCTAACTCCGCACTCTCATTAAGACAGTTATCAGCCAAGTTGGTTTGCCTGTGTTGCCCCGTCTCCTGCAAGAGGGTCTCGGACGTCGGAGCTCTGGATTTTGACACCCGGTCATACACCCCAGAGGGGGTAACATTCAACATCACCAGACGCACTAAAAATCAAATCGGTGTCCTATCCGAGTTTCCCAACTTCTCTTTGTGTCCAATGGCTTGCCTACGCGAATATGAAGATCGCACTAAACTACACCATACCGCTTCCTCTCCACAGTTGTTTTTATCCTTTCATCCTCCTTTCAACCCGGTCTTTGGCACCACGTTGTCACGCTGGGTGAAATGGTTGTTGACTCAGGCGGGCATTGATACAGCGATCTTTGGCACCCATTCGGTCAGGGGGGTCTCAGCCTCTTCGATGATGAATTCTGGTGCGTGTTTGGAGGACATCATGAGGATGGCTGACTGGTCATGGGAATCTACTTTCCATGAATTTTACTTTCGACCGGCCCCTCATACGTTTGCTATAGTAGTGGATCAGCTTTAAACTTCAATATGAGCCTCCGTGTCTTGTTATAAAATTGCATGATTTTGCTATTACATGACGAAAAGTCATGATTTTATTAAAGACACGGAGGCGAGTATTGTCCCACCCATGTTACACTACTCATGTTATGTTTATTGTCTCCCACCCAGTTTATTTTAATGTATAGGTGAGATACACTGAATCGTTTGGTATGGTAAGTGGGGCCTGTGTCGTAAGGGGGTTTGATTGTATAACTGTTATTATTCGAATCACTCTGACTTATGGGACTGCGGATCTTTGTGGGGTTTTGCATCATCTGGCCTTGATGTTAGTTGAAAGTATCGGGTTTAACCCTTGGGCCCCTGTTCCTTATGTTTTCACAGCCTGATCCGATCCAGTGGAATGCCATGCTTCGGCATGAGAGGACTTCCCCTGCGGATGGAGTTTTGTTCTACGATCATCCCGTTGTGCTTCCCTGTTGTTGAAGTGATAGTCCTCTTCTTGGTTTACGTTTCTACGTTGTCTTCTCACTGGACATTCTTGCTGTTCCTGTTTATGGATGTTATTTATAGTGTCGCATCTTCAGAAAGGGGGAAATGGAAGGGTAGTGCTGCCTATTATACTGGGACCTGAGCAGGGAGGGGCCTGTGCTACTGTATGTTCATTATTTTTTCATTCTGTTTTGTATTCTTTACTGCTATTGGTGGACAGTAAAGAAAGGGATATGCAATACTCGCATCCGTGTCTTTAATAAAATCATGACTTTTCATCATGTACTAGCAAAATCATGCAATTTTCAACTTGTGTTACCTAGTCATAGGTTGGCACTGTGACTGAAAGGCATAGTATAAAACATAACAGTGAGGGCTTGTGGAGTAACTGAAAATTAACACATAACATCATGTAAAAGAGATTATGACACGCCCCAAAACAAAATGTACTAACCAAGCTGAAAATGTAGCGTGGCTGTATAAGCTCAAATGGACTGAATGTAGGTTAAATGTACTGAACTGAACAGAAAACGTAAAGCGACCAAATGTAGACCAAAAGAACTAAAGCAAAAATGACTATGTAGCGTGGCTAAAAGCAGGTTGAGATTACTGACCCGAATATAATAAACAAAGCATCAATGT